GCATTTCTGCCTCATCCCAGTGCCTCCAAGCTGCAGGTACCATGGGCCTTGGACACTGCCGACAGTTTGGATGTGATGGCATGTCTGTCACGTGAGCCATCTTGCTACAAGCCCACACATGTGTGCATCTGCCTCCACACACCTGTGCATCCGCGTCCACGCAGAGCAAAGCGAGGAGAGTACAGGCCCTGCGCGAGCCACAGGGCGGAGAAGGGCAGATTGCGCACACACGGAGCCCGTGATTTCCTGATGTCATTTGAGCCCAAAGCACCTAATTTCCTTTCAGAGTGAGCGAGTTTACACTTGGAGTGCGGGAAACGAGTTAAGTTGGCTCGCGTGAATTGCGCGTACTCCGAGGGAGCCGTCTTTAACTCGGTTCATATAGATTTGCGGTGGAGTGCGGGAAACGTGTAAACTCGGGCCGATTGTAACTGCGTATTACCAAATATTTGTTTGTAATCCACCCTTTTGGTGGATGGAACAAAACCAAAAGACAGAGCCATCTTATATTTTGGCGGGAAATTCACCCGCACTCCAAGTGTTTACCACCTCGCCACCTGCGGAGTCAGCCCTTTCCAGTAGCAGCTGGAGCCCACTAACGGGCTCTTTGGTCTCACCCATCTAAAAACAACTTCATTAACACGAAAGAGTAAGACGAGCATCATTCTCCAAGCCGGGAGTCTGGAGAAGAGGTCACGACTTCGTGCTAAGGTCGTACCTGCGTCATCTGCAGGTTCTGCAGCTGCTGCTGCCAGGCGAGAATCGTCTCCAACCGGCAGACCCAGATGTTGATGTTCCCCACCAGCACGGACTTGCCCACGCCGCGGATCAGGATGCAGAGGGTGGAGCTCAAGTCTTGGAGCAGGTCTTTGATCAGCCGAGGGTTCTGGTGGTCGTCGAGCACTGGAACAAAAACAGCACGACTGTGCGTGGACAGCTGCCACCGGGGAGAGGGCCAGCTGCACCCCGATGTAACCTACAGATGAAATGGGGTGCACACACACAGCTGACTGCACTCAGCCTCGGAAAGGAAGAGACTCCACTCCCGCCACACGCTGCCACGTGGGTGACCCTCAAAGACACGATGCTCAGGGAGACAAGCCGGACAGACAGCGGCTGTGGGACTCCGTCTGCGGACGGAGGAGTCGGAGCCTGAGACACAAGTGGACGGTGGAACCAGGGGTAGGGACGGTGGGAGTGAGTGTCTAGGCCAGTGATGGCGAACCTTTTGAGCTCGGAGTGTCAGCATTTTGAAAAACCCTAACTTAACTCTGGTGCTGGTGTCACATAGAAATTTTTTTATATTTACAACCATAGTAAAACAAAGACTTACGTTTTTATATTTATTTTATATATTTAAATGCCATTTAACAAAGAAAAATCAACCAAAAAAATGAGTTCGCATGTCACCTGACACGCGTGTCATAGGTTCGCCATCATTGGTCTATGGGGACAGAGGCTCAGTTGGGAAGATGAGAATGTTCTGGGGAAGATGATGGTGGTGATGGTGGCACAACAGAGCGAAAGGACCTAATGGTACCAAACTGTCAGCTTAAGTGAAACTGTTAATTGTACATTGTCTACGTTCTGTCACAATGAACAATGACCTCATTCTACTGCGACCCCACCTGGTTTCTGAGATACCGCAGATACGACGAGACTTAAACAGACTTTAAACTGTTTCCTGACCAAGCATTTCTGGTCGAGTCTACTTTTTGACTTTAAACTGTCAGCCTCCATGTTCTTTACATTTCTGCCATAAGAGAAATGGTGTTTAAAAATGGCTGCACTCAGCCATTAACTCAGGTATAGGGTGTCCCCCAAAATGTACACACACTATGAAAATACAAAGGCAGTGCTTACTCAAATACACTGCATTTTCAAAATGGAGCTATCAGCTGTTAGAGTATGTATACATTTTTTGGGGACACCCTATACATGCATACACCCTATTGTTCTACCTATTTGCCACTAATCAATCAATACATTCACTAAATTAAAAAGAAATGTGTATTTGATGCTGAAACAACTGAGCCCCAACCCTGATGGTTATGGAAACATTATGTGGTGAAGTGAAGTATGAACGGCTAACCACGAACAGGTGAGATGTCCTTTCACTTATCTTTCTTTCTAATAATAGCACAATGATACATTTCTTGTATTAATGTAATATACTCCTTCCTATGCAAATGCAACTTTAAAAACATAAACAGCACGTGGACGTGAGAGCCGGAGGCCCTGGCACGGCTGTGCAGCCACGGCCACGCACCGGACGTCACCGTTGGACACACACACGGGGTGGGGGTCAGAGAAAACCCCTCTCCTCACACTAAAGTCATTAAGATTCAGACGATGAAAAAGGTCAGTCATCCTCTTACCCTTGTGAACGATTTTATCCAAAATGTTGAAGTAATTCTTTTGTGCCACACCACTCAGTGAGGTTAACTGGGATTTTGCAATTAGCTGCAATAGCTTAAAAGAAAGAGGGAAAAAGCTGAGCATCAATCTCCTCACATGGAAACATACACCACACTGACGACACGCACAGGACGGACGCGTGCCCCTCAGGGTCCTCGGTGAGAGGCGCCCGTCACGCCACCCCAGGACGTGACGCCGACTGTGCGGTCGGCCCCGCACGCCCTCCACGCGCAGACCCGAGCCTGTGCCCCAGGCAGGCCTGCTGGCACCTGACCCGTGGACCTGTGCTCAGCCCCGTGCTCCGTCTGCTTCCCTGAAGACTCCAATTCTAAGTGTGCAGGGCCTTCTCCTGTCTGTCCTTTCTCCAGAGCTCTCTTTCCAGTCCTTGTAAACGCAGAATCACGGTCCTCTCACTTCTGCCCCAGACGCTGACCGCTCCCAAGTGCCCGCTCTGCCCACTCCCTCCAGGTCCTGTCCCGGCTCCAGTCCTCACAGCCTGTCTCCTCCGCCAGCCTTGGCTCACACTGTCTGTCTGCTCCCAGCTCCCGCCACCCCCCCCCCCCCAAAAGCCTCCCCAGCCCGTCAGGCTTTTCACCCCTGAATCAGTGGTCGACCATCAACCTATGAACCAGGGGAGCATGTGTCGAGTCCCAGCCAGGACACATGCTTGGGTTGCGCGCTCCATCACCCTGTGTGGGTCGCGCAGAACACAGCCTATCACTGAATCTGTCTCATCATTGATTGCTTGCTCCCTCTCCTTTCCTGGCTGGAAATAAATAATATGGTAGAAAAAGAGTCTCAGCTGATATTGAAGGCTATACGGAACATCAACCGTGACCAATGGATCTTACTCGCAGTTGC